TGAAGAAGTAGAAGGCAAAGGCAAAGCCTGTTCTGCAGGAGTCTGGGGCTGGCATCTCCCAGCTCCTAAGTGCCAGCTGCCAGATAGTTTTGTTTTTATTAGGTTGACAGCTACACATGGGTGGGTGCCAACTTTTGTTCATTATATTTCATATTTTATAGCTTTGGTTTAGGTTTGGAAAGCTGTCGGCATTTGGAACGACAGCAGCCCCTGCCCCTGAGGGACAGTCAAGGCTTTTTTTCTCCTTTCCTTTTTAACTTCTCTCTCTTCCACGACAGCTGCACTTTCTACCAGTCCTTGTTGGCTGTCCTCTTCTCAGCCCCCCCAGGGCTCTGCTCCTTCCTTGCAGCTCGGTGTTTAAGTCACGTCACAAGCAATGTTTAGCTTTGCTGCAGCAACTCCATGGCAAACAAACGGAGCTCAAACAGATTGGAAACACAGCGTTTTGATAACACCCACACATGACATTGCAACTCCAACAACCTGTCCTTCAAACCGACCCATCAGCTGACCACGCAGCAGATAGGGATCAATCCAGCAAGGTTGTTAGCTCCCACAATGAGGTGGCTTCAAAGGAAATATATGAGCTTCGGTAACTTGGCCAACTGTCTCATTCAAAGCTGCAACAGGGACATTTCACAAAAGGGCAGCTATCTGCCAGACACTGTCAGCAAGCATTGGCCATGACACATTTGTAAAGGAATAAAGCGGACTTGAGTTACCTGGAAAGTTTGTTTACCAGGAAATCCCGTGGTGGGGATTGGTTTCACTGTTTGGCGGCACAAATGTGCCCAGTGGAACTCAGGATTCTAAGTGTCAGACAGAAGCATTAGCTGGCGGATTCTCTTTGCATTTTTGTATTTGAACTGTCAGCTCCTTATTTGTGACTAACACGGTGCTTGTAAACTAGCACTGACTTTGTTGTTCATGAGGACTTTCTAAAGGACAAACCTTGTTCTTGATCAACTATCCGTTTAGGATTATTTTGCTCTATTTTTTTTTTTAATCTGAAGATCAGTCTTTTTATACAATATTTAGAGAAAAAGCTTTGATTAGAGGTACTGTCTTCATTGTATTTTTCAGGCAAGAGCAAAACTACTAACATTTGGTCATGCATTTACATATTGGATGACCCTTCATACTGCAGTCTATGAAACTTTCTGCATTCTTCAAATATATTTCACTATTAGCTCACTACAACTGAGGAGTAAAAATTCATTGCAAAGTAGCAGAGAACAAATAATGAAACCTACTCCAGCCAGCTCAGTCTGGATTCCCCATTTACTGCCAAGGAAGAACGCTGTCCTGGAGCATGCACTGAGCAAGTGTGCAGCTGTCAGCCTGGATCCTCAACATCAGCATCTTCAATGTTCTTTCAAATGAAAGCGTTTCAGTAACTGTGAGTGAGGAGACTACGAATTCGCAGAGGAATCAACAGCATCCACTTCTTGCAGCTCTTATTTATTGGTCAGATATGCAGAATCACATTACCATAGTTTGTGAACTAGAAATCTGACAAGAGCAATTTGACTCTTGTATTTACATTTCTAGCAGTTTCATCTTGTCATTTGTGGTTTTCTTCAAATTAGAAAACAATTAAATGAAGACTCTGGCAAAGAAGCAGAGCCAGATGTAACAGCTTCTCTTTACTCTTTGTTAATAGCAGCAGCAGCAACGTAATTTAATTCTGTCAGCTCTTCAGCTGCTCAGCAGCTGAGGAGATATGCAAAGGAAGAACAGGATTACTCTCCTGGCACGTTGGATCAGCGTCCAATATTCTATCTGCCAAAAAAAGGAGAGCCCTTGAACCACAGAACCACATCTCTGCTGGGACTCCGACAGCATCACTCAAACCTCTCTGACCTCACATACATTGGAGCTACTCTGACACTGTTTGGAGAGCAAAGAGTCATGAGTTCAAATTGCACTAACCCAAAAGCAAGCAAATAAAGCTCTCTCTATTAAAGACATATTCCAGAAAATTGTATGGCCAAAAAAACGGAATTTTCTTACACTAGACTAATTTGACTACAAGTTAGGTATTTCCACATACGCCTCACCTATCTGGCCCCTCCAAGCTACACACACACACACACACACACACACACACACACACACACACACAGAGCAATGGTTCACCCCCACACCTGCAGATCTGTCTGAGGACAAAGCTCTGAGATGAGGAGCTGTTCTTAGGATAGGGCTCCAGGACAAGACTGCAGACATCTGAGCATTTTTTGTGAGAGCCTCCCAGCCTGGAACCAGCTCCCCTTTTCATTGCTATGGTCAAATATTTTTTCTGGCTTTTGGTCTATGATTTAGGCACCTGACCCCTTGATTTCTGTGAGAATAGCAGCACTACCTGGCACACAGATGAAAGCACACTCATCAAATATTGCCAGGCTGTATCTGACACTATACTGATGACACAGTAAAATATCTTTACACAAATACCTGAATAGGGACTGGAGGAGAGCAATAAAGTCTTAGATCCATGGAAACAAGTAAAACAGTTAAAAACAGACAGCAAAAATCTATGAGCAAATCTTCATTGAGTCCTATCTGGGAAGCCTGTATGCAGTTGGATGATTTTTTCTTTAGTTATAAATGTCCACAAACAATTGACATAAGACAGGACAATTGTTCACAGACTTGCCTTTTTGTCTGACTGTCCTGAGCAGCAGCACCATTTGGCTGTCTCAAAAGAAAAGTAGTCAGGTGCGAATTTGCTTGAAGGAGGAAGGTTATGGGGTCTGAACCTACATTCTAGCACTGCCAAAGCTTTCTACAAGGTCTCTAGTTTGTAGAGTCACTTTACCCACAGCCATAGGCTGGATACACCTGCCACTGGCAGTAGCTGTCCCTGTTTTAAATGTGGGCTCTAAGAATTAATCTTTAATACAGTTTGTCACTGGAGCTCTTGAAGTTAAGATCAAAGGGCCATACGAATGCTGCCTTCAGGTGCTCAGGCACTTCTCCCATAGAAGTCACCAAAGAATTTGGCCCACAGTATGTTACTCCTCCTTATACCAATTAATTTTTGCATACTAATTAGTATGCCACATTATAGGTTTGAACTGAATGCTCCTGTTTCATTTGTTTTGCATTTTCTGGAAAAGAATTTGCTCAAAAATGTCATATAATGTTTCCTTTGAACAACGCAAAGAAAAAGACCCAAACCTTGCAGCAATCACACTGACCTTAAATGATTGACAATAAACTCTTCCATTACTGGGATTCCCCTTCATCTCCTAGAAGAGGTTTCTTTTAGTCTCATCCACCAGAGCAAGCTGCCTAGAAACATTTTTAATTACTGCGTATTTTGCTCTGGAGGAAAGAACATGACTTGTGCTGATCACTCTCTTAAAGAAGATTATAATCCTAGCAGCAAAACAAGTTGCTTGCCTAGATGAGGATCAATGAAAATGTTGTATGTGCAGACTGAGACTGGAGCCTCAAAGAGAGCAACCCTGGCTACACAGTTTGTGGTAATATTATATGTTAACAACAACTGAAGCAATAAAGTCACAGCTTAAAGCCTCTGCTCCAGCCTCCTGTTATTGCTGCTTTGGTCAGATGCAGCTGAAGCAGAAAGGCTACATTCCCACAGCTCTGATTCACTGATGGTCAGTCCTGGTAGATTTTTCTTGGCACACCCAACTTCAGTAATTGCATCTATTTATCCCTGGGATTTGCACCAAACTGGAACCAGTAGGTCAGGTAGGCTCACTGCTGTTCAGATTTCAGCAATACTGCTCTGCAGTTTTGTGTCCAAATGGAAAGGAAAGCGTTTCTCAGAAACTAAACCAGGCATAAAAACAAACAAGACCCCTTCCCCAGTCCCTTCCCTGAACAGCTATTATAGGTTTTATAGGAAACAGATGATTGTTCTCCAAATTAAACTCACAAGAACACAATTGCTGAATTGTTGGTCCCCACCCCAATATCTTTTGGGCCAATCAATTCTTGTACCAGATAGAACTAATTTTTTCCCACTATCCCAAACAGATCCAGAACAGGACAGTAAAGGTAACAGAGGCTTGAGGTGACGTTATGATCCACATAAGGAGAGCATCAATATAGCCTTACAATGAATTGCTAGAAATTAAGTATCAGAAAAAAGGAATCCGATAGGAACTACTGGTTTAGATTAGACTCTTCTCACCTACTCAATATTGGATTACACAGTTCCTACATGTTAAAGGGGCATATAATGAAATAGAATTCAGGTGACACGTCTGGTTTACTTTTTCTATGACCAACTACAAGACAACACATGCAAGGTTACTTCAGGAAAACTTCAGTGTTTCACTGTAGTTTATAAGCAATGTTTTTTCTGATGTCTTTGCGTTTAAAACCCCAGTAGAATTTATCCATTAATGGATAAGAAATTAGAAGAAAACCCTACATTTTAATGTGAAGAATGCACTTGGAAATGCTAGGAAACTCAGCACTTAAAATTCACAGCAATAATGCACTGAGGAATATTTCTCCTTAAAACCAAGACCCCAGTTAAGTGTTTTCAAGAACAACATCATTGTCTCTATGAAGATAACTGAGTCCTCATTATTTACAGTTCCTGAAATATTCAAGACTGTTGGGTATGGGGGTGAGCAGGAGGAGGTTGTTATTTGCTTGAGATTTTATTTTCAAGAAGGTAAAACAGGTGCTTGGTTTTCTGTTGCCTTTTTTTTTTTTTTTCTTGTAGCATCACATTTTAAAAAACTGTCCAACTACAAGGTTTTCTTCCCAGCTGCATCTCTTTTCTATTCTTATGGAAAAATATTTTATGGCTGTTCATATAGGCAAACTTTTGCTTAGATTACCAGTGACATCCCAAGAAGCTAGACAAAAAGTTACCTTTTACTTGCAGGGAAGTAATTCCTGCTACTTAGCACTGCAGTAGCTACTGCATTACGCCTACATTATGTTATGTCCAGAAACAAAATTGTTTTGGTGTAGCATCATTTAGACCTTTGAAAACAAAAGTGGTCTTTTACCTTTTGTCCATCAGTAGGAGATGCAATGGCTGAACCCTCCATGCTGGGAAGCAGAAGACAGTGGAAGATGGAGCAGAGCTGTCTTCACAATCACAGGAAGGGAATGATGCTGCAGAAGAATGCTGTCCAGGAAGGCTATAGGGAGAAAGAAAACCAAAGAGAGTGAAAAGTGGTCAATATATCGGGAGAAGCTGGGCTAAGGGTCAACGAGAAGGAGCATCACCTGGTTGGAGAGGTCACACCTGCAGTATTAAACTAACGAGCTTGACAGGAAAAAAGAACAGCAATGGAGAAAAAAAAGAAAATAAATTAAAATAAAAGAAGAGAAAAAGAACACATATGTAGTAGCTACAAGACAAAAAGGAACTTATAATATTTAACTTATTCCATGCTATTTAACTCTGGTGAAAAAATGCTATGTCCAAAGTCACTGCAGTGTTGTCAAACCCAATTGTGTTATTGAGAGCTTGGCAAACTTTCATTTCTTAAAAGAATTCCAGAACTCCAGTTCTTTGACTTAAGTGATTTTCTAATAATTTAGGTTTTATTCTTTTTTTTTTTTTTAAAGATGTTTCATGCTGTCACTGTGCTTGAGAAAGGATTGAAAATGCATGTGCTGAAGAACTAAAATCTGTAAGTCAAAACCAAAGACTTGAAATGCTCTTAGAAGTAATAAACCTGGAGCATCAATCAAGCCTCTTTATAAGCTGACTTCTGAAAGATCCTTGCCCTAAAACTGAAGGTATTTCCAAGTGACCTGGCCTTTGAGAAAAACAAGAAATATGTAGGGGAATAAACACAAAGCCCTTCAGTTTTGACATCCTAACTTTAAGAATACCAAGCCCTGCAATACAAAAGATATCAGGAGGTCTCAGCAGCCCAGTGGTTCCCCTTGGTAAATACCTATTATCTTATCAGCTGGAAGACAGCCCCCATGCCATGTCATTCCCTTTCCATCACTGCTGCATAATACAGCTTCATTTCATTTTTGAAAGAAGTTTGTTTACCAAGAGGAAAGGCAAAAAGAATATGTTTTGTCACCTCTATGCTAAACCTATTGTCTACTTCCTAAAAGCAATCATCTTTAGATATTAAAATGGCATGATCTGGATATTGCATAGCATTTCTCCTAATCTTCCTGCATTGCCAATTCAGTTCACAGATTGCATTCATTCTCCCTTGAAAAGCTTACAATGTTGAGTCAGAACTTTCCTAAGAAATAGCATTTGCTCATATCAGCCTCATGTTAGCAAGGCAAGGACAAAGTCAAGAGCAGAGGAGGGACTGCTTTTATAAGCAGAGAGGAGAGTCAGAGGCTGGAGCTGGTTATGACATCTTTTTGAACAATTCAGATTAAAAGGGAGAAATACACCAAAGTCATTTTTTCTTCTAGTCATGAAATAATAACAGTAAGAAAGGTAGAGAGCACAAGCCATACTTAAACACAATGATGGATAATGTGCTTTCCACCACTGCAGATGAAACAAAATGAGAACAAGTCAGTCAGATCTTTTCCCCGTCCATGTTGAGATCTGTTTTGTTCTGGTCTGAGTTCTGCTTTCCCGATCCTTCTCTGAAAAGGAGCAGAATATAAACCTCCTGCTCTAAATGCAAGAACTTTGGGGCAATTTGCCAGGGAGGTCATGGAGTCTCCTTCTCTGGAGATGTTCAAGACCTGCCTGGATGCCAACCTGTGCAACCTGGTGTAGGGAACCTGCTTTGGCAGGGGGGTTGGACTCGATGATCTCTGGAGGTCCCTTCCAACCCCTACAATTCTGTGATTCTGTGATTCTGTGATTCAATTTAGATTCTTATGCAACCTAAAACCTTGGGAAGAGAGTCAGTGCCAGATGCAAGCACAATGCAGGCAAGGAAACTGTCCCTCAAAATGGTTCCTCCACTTGCCATTTCCTCTGAAAAACAAGAGCACTATGAAAGAACAAGATGTACATATAACTGTGTATCTCATCGTGTATATATCTATCCAGCCAGCTGAGCTTTGTTATGTTGTACAAAAGAGCCTGCATACCAAATTCCATCTTTTTGTGGGGTTATTTTTGACTCACAGATTATAAAACTAAAACTTCACACACAACTTCTCTTTCTGAATCTCCCCTGAGGCAGGTGAACCCTTTGACCTGGCTTCATCTCTGTCTATGGTTCAACAAACAAAATTTCCCCTGCGATACAGACATGCACCCCTGTTCCAGATCTGCATTAAGGCTTTGCTGGAGAAGCACTGAGGCAAAGGCAACAGCACCTGGGAGCTCGAAGGAAGCAATTCAGAGACATTATGCTCTATCAGTGCAGGTTGCTAAGACCAACGTAAAAGATGTCATGCTTGCATGGATCGCCCATCTAACCCTAGAGAAGCCATTAATAAAGACACATTTTTAATTTTGCACACAGTAAGATCATACAGGGCTCACAAAGCAGCAGAAATGTACCTATAACTCTTCTGTGTATTTCCAGACAAACGATGCAGCTTTCTTTATGACATCAATTTATTTTTTTTTACTTTGCAATTACGTAAAAACAGCAATAACATGGGAGAGAGAGATGATGTGACGGATCCTAATGCTGAATTATTCATTGCCCTTCAGCTGCTGACTTCACATCAGACAGTTCCCAATGCACCTCACATAAATCACAGTGGATCTTTTTTGCCACAACCACTCTAAGATCCTACTGAGTGCTTTTTTACCTAAATACCATAGGATAATGGTCTTTCAAGGAAGGGATGCACATACACTGATGAGAAGGGAGGTCTGTCCCTGCAGTCACTGACATTTGGTGAGGAGGAATAGCAATATAACGCACTTAAAGAGATCCATTGGATGCGTAGGGTTTATACAGAAATTAAGCCATACACACACACATTCATTTTATAGTGAAGAGTATATACTTTGGCATACCTAATATCCAAGATCTGATAAGCTATATTACTTTGCAGGCTTGATTCTCGTAAGGATACCAACATGATAAAATGTTTGAGGATAAAAGAGAAATTAATTTCATTGCTTCAGTTTTGCATTTAACTATTAATTTGCTGCGCTCACTTCCAAGAGATGGGGTTTGATCAGACAAACTCTCTCACAACTTGGATGAGAGTGAGCTGGGTTTGCAATGTCACAGATCAACCATAATCAAACTGCAAACTGCAAAGGAATGTGCTGACCTTAGGGAACATTCACAATAAAGTTGGTGCATTGCATACGCTACATTGGCTTCTAGACCAGTGAAAGGTTTAAGAAACATGTTTCATTTCTACTATTGAGGCTCTTGGGCTGGTTAATCACTGCTGACTGTGAACTCTTCAGGGGTCTGGGTTTTTCACTATTCTGCCTGCAGAGGGTCTATTGCAGTGGGACTCCTACTCACTAGTTCCGTAACTGCTATGACCTACACTATGGTGAACAGTAAAAGCATCATTCTTAAGATATTCCCATCTTTCAGTAGGTAATCCCTCCATCAACAACTTTTTTAAGGATGCCTTGGCAGGCTGTTTTATTTTGCTGCAAAAGAACAAACGGGTAAACCTCCTTCTCCCCACTCTCCCTCAAGCTACTTTTGACACCTTCACAGATCACACGGGGCTCAGAAACAAGGCCAGATTACTGCAGCAGAACAAATCGGCATACCTCTGCTGAGCTATGGCAACAGTCAGTACATTCTCTCTCAGCCCTCAGAGCAGTTGCAGGGTGGTACCATTTCCCTGAGCTTGGCATGAAAGGTGTTGAAACAGAGCTGGTGCACAGACACTTACTGCTGACACACAAATCATATATTAAGTCACATTTAATGTCTCCAAGGCTTAGAATACAGCTTTAATTCATGTCCTACCTTATGCAGTAACCTAGAGAACTGCCTAGAGCAAATATCATCTTTCAGCCACATGGGCAATTTCATTCTGTACGTTGTGCAATTGTGTTTGTGTCCATCTGCTCCAATGGTTTTCTTTTTAACGTAACATTTACTTCTCTGAAGCCTTGTCATGGAATTTATTCCGATTATTAGTGTTTGTAATATGGCCACTCTATTTTGTGGGAACTCAAAAAGTACCAATTAGAAAGAGCGTCCCTGCATGGAAGACTTCAGCCACAGTCTTGTTTACATTATTTGTCTGTCTATGCCAGGAGCAGGGGGTGCAAAAACAGCAGGATACCAAAGAACAAGAGAAAAAGCAAAGAATCCTCCATTTGATCTTTCCTGTCACAGTCCAGTTTTAGCTTTCAGGACAGTCTAGCATAGATACCAACACCTGCTTTATGTCAGTATTTGACATATTTTAGATTTCATTGTTCATATAAGACCATAGCAAGTGATATATCATAAATGTATATGACAAATATATGCAACATCACAATTAAGTTGACTGCCAATAATAGCATCTTTTTTTTGCTTTTTTTTTTTTTTTTTTTTTTTTTTTTGCTTTTTGAGACTCAAAGCAAGTAAGGAGGTTGGGCAAGAGGGAGGCTACACAAACCTAGAACTCGATTCCAGATCTCCCAAGACTCAGCAGGAATATTCATGTGCATCTGTAGGATGAGGGACTGCAACAGTAATCCAACTTGGATGTAATCCAGCCTGGATGAAATTTAATTTACTCAAGAGATCTCAGTAAAAAATGCTGGTTTCATGAAAATATAACATTACTATTGATTTTTTTTTAAGCTGTAAATTGGGCAAATACAGACGTAAATGCAAACCACAAAATACTTGAACAGATGCACAAAGGACATTCAGTCACCAGACTAAAATCATTGGAAACTTGCTTCCCCCTCCCCCCCATCCATTCTTTCTCTTTTTCTGTATTTTGTTAACATTTCAAAAAGAAGAAAATATGTATTTCTGACCTCTTTGTTAAAAATATCACAAGATTCATTAAGAGAAGTATTTGGAAACCTCAAAACTCTTCTCCATTTCCATGAGTACCTGAAATCTAATGCTTCTGATTAAGCAGAGAAGGGATGAACTGTTATGTGAAGCCTACAACAATAATTGTGAGCTGAAGAATGGCATGTTCATTGCAAGTAGCTGGTAATGATTTCATGCAGAGGATTAGAGGACTGGAGGGGGAGCCGAGCTGAAGTTTGTTTACAGA